CCCAAGCTCCAGATGTGAAGAGTCTTCCTCCTGAGAGAAGCAGAGATGCTAAAAAGAGACTGGAGTTTCTGACAACCAGAGATCCTAAGAGGAAAGAGGGTGAGAGACTACGAATATTGGTCAGAGGGGATGTAGAGGTGAAGATAGAGGGTTATTAGCCAAAGAAATGGCAGTGCTTTTGTCAAAGGGAAAAATCTTTTCTTCTACCTCTTATGTTCAGTATCAGGAAACCTGTGTATTAAACTAACAAAACGCAGATTAACAGGAGAAAAGGCAAAAATTGTATTAATATTTACCTGCACAGGAGTTTACAAAAAGAAGTGAAACTCAAATAAGACCTCAGGTTAAATTAGGGGTCTTATATACCCTTTTAACAAAGTAAAGAGGGTTTGGGGTCACAGGACAATAAATTGTGGGGAAGTGACTAGGAAGTATATGGGGGAAACTAATGGAAGATAAGGGCTATTTTAGGAAGGCTGGTTTTTGCAAACTCATCTTGGTGTTGCTTCCCCATCCTCAATCATGCCCTGCTTTCAGACAGTTGAGGGGAGGGCACAGAACTCTTCCTGAATCTGTTGATTCTCTATCATCTTCAGGTCAAAATAATCCTTACACCAAGTAGTATATTTAGGAATGGCATTCTCTGATTCCCTTCAATTTGTCTTACTCTTCAACTGCCAGAACCAAAAATCTAGCAAAGCCTCCTTCTGCAGCCATAAAGAACCTCCACTCAGGGGCACCTGGATGGCTCAGTCGGTTAAACATCTGACTTCGGTTCAGGTCATGAGATCATGGTTCATGAGTTCAAGCCCCCATCAGGCTCTGTGCTGACAGCCCAGAGCCTGGAGCTTACTTTGGACTCTGTGTCTCCCTCTCTGCCCCTCCCCTACTCATGCTCTGTCTCTGTCCCTCTCTCTCAAAAATAAACAAACATTAAAAAAAAAATTAAAAAAGAACCTCCACTCAGATCTAGCTCCAAGGGTACTTCTCAGACCCAGAGCCTCAGCACCTGGTCTGTGTTCCTACATTCCCATCCCTTCAGGGCATCCAAGAAGGAAGCTCAGGAGATACTCCAAGGCCAGGAAAGAAGCCACAAAAGAAGCAAGCCCTGACTTCAGGTAATTAAGACCCACTGCAATTCCCTGACAGGAGTCTATGCCATTGGGCCTGTCTGAGCCACTCTGTGTCCCTCACACAGGCCTGGCATTATCTCTCAACCCAGAAAAGCCAATCTAGAACCTATGCATAGACAATCAGATTTTCTGTGAATTTCGAACTAGGATGGGAGATCACTTAGGTGAACTCGAAGTAGGTCTGCAGAAAGAATGAAGTAGATGGTTCAAGATGTCTAGGCCTTCAAGAGAGGGCAATCAAGACTGGTTCCTGACTCACCAGTCTCAGCACCCCAAGGCCTGGATGAATTTCCTGGGGTTGGGTTTCAGGACATTCCCCTTTTACTAAGCAATTCCAATATTTCTGTTACATTCAACCAAAAGATCCTTGACTAACACATTAACTCTCTTTGACTCTGTGCCTTGTCCAAGGTCCCTCAGATCTGAGACACAGACCCAGAGTTCTGGCTTACATCTTAGAGTTCAGAGCTTGAATAGTATCTCCCAGGGGCAGCCCCACCCAGAATTCAGCCCACAGTTGGAAGGAAAGCCAGCACCATCACTCACCACTCCTCCTGGGCAGGAAGCAGAACATCTGGTACCCACAGATCCCCTCCCAGAGGTCATAATAATAATAGCTGCCATTTATTGAGTACCCATCTTGTATCAGATGCTGTGCTAAGTATTACTTCCAGTCTTCAAAAAAATCGTGTTTTTAAAATAGGTTTTAAATATTTTTACTATTATCTAACTTAACTATGCATGGAGAGCAAAACAAGCATAAATTCCTCATGCTTATAAGCTTTTATAGAAATAAGAAGCCAAAAACTTGCCAACCAAAACCATTAAAATCGGTATAAACATTAGTTGATACTGCCAATTAGTTTTTTTTGGCTGAAGATAAATTGATGATGTTATATTTATTTTTGTAAGAAAAGCAAAACAGGGGTGCCAGTGGCTCAGTCAGTTAAGCATCTGATTGTTGGTTTTGGCTCAGGTCATGACTTCATGGTTTGTGGGTTTGAGCCCCATGTTGGGCTCTGTGCTGCAGGCAGTGCAGAGTCTGCTTGGGATTCTTTCTCTCTCTGCCCCTCCCCAACTCTCTACGTAAATAAATAAACTTAAAAATCTTTTTAAATTAGAAAAGCAAAATAAAAATGGCAACCCTTTAAGTTAGGTATTTCTATTGGCATCCCCAGTGGACAGGAAGAAATGGTGGCTCAGAGGGGTAAAGCGTATTTCCCAAGGTCAAAGAGCTGAGGGTTATAATCAACCAGAGTAAATGAAAAGTCTCAACTGCCCAAACTTGAGGTCTGGCTGCTAGAGTCCTGGGCTGCCCCTTCACCAAAATGGCAGCTCATAAATGGTCAAGGAAAGATCTTGAAAAATACTTACAACCTGGCACAGAGCAAATGCTTGTTAAAGGTTTGTTGAATGAATGCATGAATGAATGAATGGGTGAATATGAAGGGCGTTGTTTAAAAGACAGTCTGAAAAAATAAGTAAAATAAATAAAATAAAAGACAGTCTGCTCTACCCCAATGATGCAGAGGCCTGTAATTCAGCACTCCCCATTTACCACTGCTGTCAGTGGCCCTTCCCTCCTTGTTACCCAGGAGCTAGTCTAATGGCATTCGCCATTCCAATCAGCCAGGATACCATTAAAAGCTTCAGTCCAGCCACTGTGCCCCCACCCCAGGTCTTGGCTCTGGGCCCTGGGCTTGGGGAGTGGCCTAGTTGTTTACCAGAAATTTGGACCTTATTCAGAGAAAAGCACAGATGACCTATTAGTCTAATTCAAGCACTTAGCAAGGAATGACTGTACCATTCACACCCCCAGCCCCAGGCTAATGGAGTCAAAGCAAATGGAGAGGCTTTGCCAGCTCAGAGATCTTCCTGGGAGGGGTGAAGGGGAAGGTCTCCAAGTGCCCCCACTGAAGTTTGCAGGGAGGAATGTTGACCTAGCATTTTCTGGGGGCAGCGTGTACTATGGGGATACAAAAATGTGTAAGAAGAGGCTTCCCTATTCTACCCGCCACTCTGGCAGCATTTCTGCACATCCTACCCCCAGTCACCTGCTCACTACCTTAAAACTTGGTTGAGAGAAAAATAGGAAGACAACCAAATATCCATTGATAAATAACTGGTTAAAAAAACGATATATGTAGGAATATGCATTCATATAAGTCCATGCTCTGAAGCTGATAAAAAGGATGATGTAGTTCAAGCTCTACTCATGCATGCTGAAAGACATCTGTGACTTACACAGTGACATGCAGTGTCTGATCCCACTTATATAAAGTTATACATACCCATAGATTTTCATGTGCACATATAGGCAGAGCATTTGGCAGTTTGCTGGTGGGATTTTAGAGTATTTTACTTTCTTCTTTATAATTGTCTGTATTGTCCAAATGTTCTACAAAAACCACATACTGTAATTGCTAACTTTGCTGAGTTCTTATATTGTGTCAGTTCCAATGCTTTTATATGGATTATCTCATTCCTTATGAAGTGGGTTCTATGCTTTTTCACATTACAGATGTAGATAATGAGGTCTAGAAAGGTTGAGCCCAAGGTCATATAGCTATTAACTAACAAAGTCAAATACTGTTGGAAGATCAAATGAATTAATGTATGTACTTGCATGCAGTAGAGGCTCAATAAATGACGGTTATTATTATAATTATTGTACAGTACTTATCGCACTGTCTTGTTCTTCTTGTCTTGTCTATTCCTCTGCTCTGGAGTGTAAAAGACTTGAAAACAGTATCTGAATCAGTACTCCAGAATCTCCTGCATCCAGCACAGTGCCTTGCTGAGCCAGCACTCATCAGATGCTTAAGGAAAGAGTGAGTGAATGAATAGACAAATGTCCACAGCTCTATAAATATATTTTCCCAACTACTTTGTTTCCTTATCCCAACAGGATTGCAAATGGGATTGAGGACCAGTCTCTCATTTCCTCTGGCCCCCATCATGGTCTGGAGCAAGCCAATAACACGAGCAGGTGCTCAATAAATGCTTTGGTTGACTGGGGATACTCCCCTCTCAGCTCCTGTGGCAGATCTCAGGTAGTATACCAGATATGGCTGGATCTGGGACAGATACCAGGTCCAAAGCCTCACATAAGCTATATTTTTCCTTCCAACTCCATGTTAAGTACACAGGGACGTTGAGAGAATTGCTGACGTCACACAGCAATTGGTGGGAGGGTAACTGTGTCTCCTGGTCCTGGCCACCTCTATTCTTGTACCTGTAACACTTCTAATTCTACATAAATTCACAATGCGAGAAAACAGGAAAAGAGCAAAGTTTTAAACCAAATGTTTAATTATGATTTACATGGGGATACTTCAGGACAGTAGCAGGAAGAAAGCAAAACCCAAATGTTCCGTCTCCTGAGGCTCAAATGCTCTGATGGATCCCCAGGTAGGGTAGGCACTAGGTTCCTATATCCCATTCAGAGGAGGAGACAAGGGGGTAGGAGTCTTGCACCAGCCTTCCTTACAATGGGGACTGTCTTTCTATGCTGCCTCAGAACATCCAGCCCTACCTACCTGGAGAATGCAATAGATAATGACTGATTTGTTAGAGCCTGGGTGATTCTGGTGGGCAAGAGGAAAGGATTATAAGAGAGACTGGTAGAGATGGTCTCCACCAGAAGATATGGCTAAATCATGGTCACCAAGTCCTAAGGAAGGGCTGAAGAGGGAATGAGTCAGTTTCAACGATGGCCCCATGTGGAGTCAGTTGGATATGCAGTATGGACTGAGGGTCGCCATGTTGTTTACTGCACCTCCTTCCTGATGCCGCTCTTTCTTACCCCTTGCAGGCTGAAGGTCAGGCTGGTGTGGTAGAGGGGAGAGGGGCCCAGGGGAAGTCCAGCTACCAGAGGCTCAGGAGAAGAATCAAAGTAAGTGTACAGGAGAAAAGAGAGGGCACCCAGGGCTGTGGCATCAGAGCAGGATTTTTGTTCTGTAGAAGAAATGGAATGGAGTCAGCTCCACCCCCTTCACCACTTTGGCATCAGTCAAAGCCTGTCCCCCCCCCACCCCTGATGTGTCCATTAGAGATCTACAGTATTCATGACCACAGTGAGGTCACCTCATCTGTCCCCTTGTCTGGGTTTCCCCCAGCTAGACCAGTAAAGGTAGGAGGTGTGTAATAAAGGAGGCCCTACCTGGCGTTCCATCACGGAAAAGGTAGAGTCTGCCCAGTCCTGGGAGAAGAGTTGGCTGTGAAAACGCATCTTAGCTGCAATGGCCTCCACTGAGGAGAGGAGAGAAGGTAAACAGAAGTGGGCATATGTTGGAGATCTCTTAGGCTCCCATGAAAGAAAAGGGAATGTCTTAGGGACCCTGGCATATGGCAGGCTGGGTAGGAATGGGATATTGTTTCATTCTGCTTGCTTATTCCTAAAGCTGAAGAGTGTCCCTGGGGCCAAGACAGGTTGAACAGGAAGCTTGAGGGGTCACCAGGGAGTAGGAGGGGGCTGCTCTGTCTGCAGGAGATGGATGGAACCAGTGTGGACCACAGAGCTGACCCTTTTCCTCAAACTGGGTCCAGCTGATCCAATCCTGGGGGCTGGGAGCAGGTGTAATGCACTCACTGAGGCAGGAGTTGTGGGAGAAGGACTCTTCCAGCTGTTCACACTCTTCCTGCCGGTTGCCACTGCCTCGACAGGTGCAGCTTAAGGCAACACTGATGTTGACATTGCTGACAAAGTTGGGAGTCATGGCAGTCCCTGTGGGGTGAATAAAGGACTGTCAGGGCCTAGGCCACCCAAACTTCAACCCCCACTCTCTGCCACCTGTCTCAGGACCACCCCATCTGGGTTCAGTCTCCAGAGGATTCTCACCCCCGGGAGTAGCCACCCTGTTGGCTCCCTTCATATGGCCCCCAGCCTCACCAATCAGCCCCATGTATGCTCGCAGACATCTGGACTGCTCTGTTGCACAGGTCCCTAGGATGTCCAAAGGATGGCAGTGGGTCTGGAAATCCACCAGGCGAGATCTGGAAGAAGGGGAAATTTCAAGAGTCCCCATTGAGGGTCTGGTCTGCAGCCTTCACCCTTGCTCCCCTTTAGATGACAGACCCATCTTCATGCCAAATCCTCCTTTGCATTCAGGTCATGGTCCAGGGCTTCCCCCTCAGTGAAGCCTGTTTCTATCACAGTTAAGGGCACGATCACCCCAGTCCCAAAGCATGCCACTCTGAATTTGGGCTCCACAATCCCTAGGTATGAGATTTCAGGCAGCTTCTTTAACCTCAGTTTTGTCAACTATGAATAGAAATGAAAACAGTACTTCCTCATGGGTTTTTGTGAGGATGAGGTAAGAGACTGCATATACAGCATTTAGCATAGTTGTTGGTACATATGAAATGTTCATTAAATGTTAAAGACTGTTATTATTAACATTGATCCTACAATAGGTAAGGCTGGTTATCTTCAGATGATACAATTACAAGTATGTTTTTCTGTACATATTTCTGCAATTTTCCTTACGTTTTGCCTTTTGTTGGATAGGTGGTTTATTTCTCTGTCACGCTCACCCAAAAGCAAACTCGTTGAAGGAAAGGACAGTATCTTAGTCATCCAGACCAGCACTTGTTATGTGATAGTAATAGCTATCAGCAACACAATAGGCAGTCTACAGAGCAGTTAGGCCAGACTCCAGGCCAGACTTCTTCATTCCAGACCTCATTCAGTAACCTGACTTACTACCTGGATGAGTCTCAACAAGCTATTTAAACATTCTCTGCTATGGTTTCTTCTCTGTAAAATGCAGATGATAAAAAAACAACAACACCATCTATCTTGTAAAGTTTACATGAGTTAATACATACTAAGTACCTAAAACAGTACCTAGCCCATAGTAAGTACTCACTAAGTGTTGGTGTTATGATGATTGAGAGCTTTTATGTAGTATTTTACAGAAGAAGGAAGTGGAGCTCAGAGAGGTTAAATAACTTTGCCCAAGGTTACGGAGAAATAAGGGGTAGAACCAGGCTGCAAAATAAGTGACTCTCACTGTCAACGAATTCTACTTGAGTGGATGATAACTTCAATTTGGTGAATGTTTTGTCCTGAGAAGGCAGAGGAAAGCCAGGTCAGAATTTCAAATTATCTGGACAATACATATCAAACACCTTACCAACAGTTGTGTACTTTGATTTGGTAATGGCAGTTATGGCCACACACCCTAAGTAATAGTTAGATTTGTGCACAAAGATTAATGCACAAGTGATATTTACTGCATTATTTATAGCAATAAAAAAAAGCAACCTAAACATCCAACAATTGAGGAAGGATTAAATAAAGTATGGGGCATCCATAAAATGGAATGCAATGTAGGCATTTAAAAATCAAGTTGCAAAAAGGACAGTAAAACACAAAATAAGCACCCACCATTTATTGAGCACTTATTCTTCACCAGTAAGCTAAGCACTCTACATAAATTATGTAATTTAACGCTCACCAGAATCCCATGAGGTCTGTATTATTATCCCACTTTTTACAGAGGACTCAGAGGAACGTTGGGTTAAGTGATGGAATTTTAGCTTAAAGTGACGGGCTCAAAATCGAACAGCGCCAGGATTTAAATTCACATCTGTCTGACCTCAGAGCCTGTCTTCACCACTGTTCCCTGCTGCCTCCATGGAAAAATGCTCAGGAGATACGCACATAAGTGAAAAAAAAAGAAGGTACAAATATATTTCTAGAAAATCCAGTTTTGTTTATGGGTATACAAAAAAGACTGGAAGGAAACGCTCCCAAAAGTATGTAGATTATCTTCAGGTGATGGATTCTTATGGATTTTATACGTTTTATATTTTCTGAAGTTTTTACACAAAGGAAAACAATTTTTTTTGATCACAGGGTTTTCAGAAAATACTACAGGGTGAAGTCAGTCCACGGCCTCTGGGGGGCAAGCCCAGCTCTGCACAGGAAAGCACCCATAAGGAGTGGCGTGCACTGTGCCCTTACCCACACCCAGCCCTCCCGCCCTGGCACCGGCACCTGCACAGCGGGTCAGCGACGCAGAGGCTCTCCAGCTCCAGGCAGTTGGGGGCCCCAGACGGCAGAGCGCAGCTGGGAGCGATGGTGTTGCGCCGGCGTTGCCCGCAGCCCTGGTCGGCCGGTGCACAGGGGCACAACAGGAGGCCCTGAGCGTGGGGCTCCGAAGCCTTCTCGAAGAAGGCGCGGAGCTGATGGAGGCAGGTGTGGCGCTGGCAGCGGGATCCCGAGCACGCTTCCCCATAGGCCTTGCGCAGCCGATCACACTTATCATTAAGAGTACATAGCATGGCAAACTTGAGGCAGAGGTCTGAGTCTGCGGGGATAAGGGCACCAAGTCACCAGTCCTCTCTGCAAACGTGCAGCCCAGTTTTGCTAGGAACCCCTGCAAACCTCGGATTTAACAAGGATGGTGGTGGGGGTAGGAGGAAAGGTAGGACTCCCTGGAATAAGTCCACTGCGAATCCTAGACTTTCCCTCTACCCATAAACTATATCTGGTATTTGTGAGCTTCCCCCATCCTACTCCTCAGCTTTCCTATGTGTTAAAAAAAAAATAATAAAATAAAATAAAATAAATAAAATAAAATAAAATAGGCCATATACATATCTTACACTCATTTACCTAGACTTGAAGTGGCCAGAAAGCTCAAATAACCAAAACCCTTTCCTCAATCCTATGGTGGATTGAAGTCTCATGTGGAAATCATCATCTAGAGGCCCTACAACATTCTAAAGTACTTTCTGAACTGTCCAAAACATACGCAACTAAATTCTGCTGAGGATTTTTGTTTGGTTTTGCATCTATTTGGCCCATTTTTAATATTACCTGTCTGCCTTTAATGATTGATGCATGCATAAAAGTTCCCTGTGCTCTGAGGCTGGGGAAATTATGGTGATATTTTTATTGACAACATTCCAGCAGTCAGAACAATGGAGTAAATGGAACAGGTTATTCCCAGATTCCTTATAAGTGTTTATGCATAAATCTCTACTCTTTTCTCTCAAAATACTAATTCCAATATACAGGACTAACTGTACAACAAAGCTCCTATCTTTCTCAAAAAGTGAGTGTCTGTGTGTGTGTGCCTTTCCAATTAACACAAGAGCCTCACTTTCCAAAAAAAAAAAAATGCATTTTAGTCCTTGCCAGACTGATGGCTCCCCACCCTGAGTAACCCCTGAGCAGTCACATTCTTTCTCACCATTTTCCCTGCCCAACACCTCACCCATCCCATTAAAATGGTATGAAAACAAGCAATTTCCTAGTCTTCAGGGACAAAAAGCTACTTTCCTGGCTGCCTCGAATGAGGGTAACTACTTTATTTCAGCATTTTTTTTTCTGGGACTGCTGCCACTCCATCAAACGCTTTGTAGAGACCCACCTTTTGGAACCAAGGAGCCCTAATGGCCTCCCTATTAACTATTTGTTGACATATAAGACCACAAATGCTCACAGCTCAGACTTCCACCCTGACACAATGCTTCTTTAGTTACGTGGCAGGCTAGAACTCTCTCCCAACACGCCCTCCGTCTGGCTTGTGTTCCCCATCAGTCACCCTTCCTTCAGGGTCCAGGTCCATCCCTCATGTCCCAACCTCAGACTGCCCTCCACACCTGGTTTGAGCATGTTCAGTTTGCTGAGATTCATTTTCCAGGGTTTTCTGGTCACGGTGTCTTCATAGGGGGAGACATCCAGTTCATAGTCACCTAGAGACAAGGTGATAAGAATCCTGAGGACCAGATTGGAGGTTGGGAACAGGAGGGGCTGTGGGCTCCTTAAGGGGACATAATAGATCATAAAGTCACTGCATAGCTCATAGACACAGTAGGTAATAAATGTTGGCTAATCTTGTTGGAAGAGAAGGATGAAAGAGTGCAAAGTGTCACCCAGTTTGCCTTTGAGAATGCATCTATAGGGAGGAAAAAATATGGATGAGGTCAAGCAAGTAGGAAAGGATGGTCTGGATATCTGGGAAGCCCTGAAAGCTCCCAAGGGGAAAGGCAAGAAGACAAGAGGATCTAGGGAGAAGTCTCTGGGGAAGTTCTGAAAGAGAACTGATTAGGATGAGGAGTGGAAAACAGGGAACAAAAAGGGTGGTAAATTGCATTACTGTTTCCAGCTATTTGCTAGCTACCCACCCTATGAGAAGATTATACACACACACCCCCACCTCAGTTGCCATGTGACTTTCAGGGCCCCTATGAGAGGAGTATACTTCCACACCCTACTATAAGGATTGCCCATGTGATTTGCTTTGGCTTGTGGGTTGTGAGCTGAAGTGACATAAATCACATCTGAGCAGAAGCTTTAAGAACCATCACATGGTCTTGCTGCTGCTCTTTTCCCTCTAGCAGCCTGGATCATCAAATGAAGAAGACAGGTAGAGCAAAGACAAATCCCACTCAAGGAAGCCCACAGCCGATGTGTAACATGAACAACAATTAAAATTTTTTTCTAGGAGGCCAGATATGTGGGGGTTGGTTGGTTATTACTGCAGTATAACCTGGCAAATTCTTATTAAAAATGTAATTGGTGGGGTTGTCTGGGTGGCTCAGTCGGTTAAGCATCTGACTCTTGATCTCAGCTCAGGTCTTGATCTCAGGGTCATGAGTGTAAGCCCCATGTTGGGTTCCACACTGGGCATGGAGCCTACTTAAAAAAATAAATTAAATAAAAATTAAAATTAAAAATTTTTAATTGGTATCTAGAAATGAGTGCTGCAGTAACAAAAAAAAATCTAAGATCTAAGATCTAAAAATCTAAAATTTTATTGGCTTTGGGACTGGGCAGTGAGTGGATGTAAATAAGCTGTTCCTGAAGTATGAAAAATGGCAGTCCTCAATATGCAGTGGGAAAGCATTTGGGAAAACTGTTGCCTGCAATAACTTGGAAGGAAGATGTTATATTGAATGAGCTTGTGCTTTAAGGAAAAGAAGCTGAGAAGCAGAAGGTTACTAGTATGTCTTTTTTTAAATTCTTAAATGTTTATTTTTGAGAGACAAGAGTGTGAGTGGGGGAGGGGCAGAGAGAGAGGAGACAGAATTTGAAGTAGGCTCCAGGCTCCCAACTGTTCCAAGCTGTCAGCACAGAGCCCAATGTGGGGCACGAACTCACGAACTAAAAGATCATGACCTGAGCCCAAGTCAGGAGCTTAACTGACTGAGCCACCCAGGTGCCCCTTTACTAATACGTCTTGATTGCCATTGGCTGCATTTTGCAAGGTACTACAAGAAAGTTAAGCTCAGAGAAGAATTGATCAGTTTGCAAATAGAGAGGAAAAAGAAAAGAAAAAATCCAGAAATTTCAGGATTTGCAGGATTAAGAGATGGAACTGTTTTTCATATTCAAATATTAAAATATAAAATTAAAAAAATGCTTTGAGTAATAAGGTCCATTAAGACTCAGCCTTGGGGCAAAGACCAATTCAAGTATATGGCTATCCCTTTGTGGAGATCTCTCACTGATTAAGATGGTATCAATAAATCCTGCCAGTTATGCTCAGGGAAAAAAGACTAGGGTAGTGGCTCTCCCTCTGATAAGAGCAAGATACTTCTGATTAAGTCTAGAAAGAGATATATGTCTTGAAAAGAATTATAGGGAAGACTGCTGGCACCAGAGGTGACAGAAACCAAAGATATAAAAAAAGCAATTATGTTTTGAGAAAGTTGTACTGCTAAGAGCCACCAGCCAGGATTCAAATAGACTCTACTGGAGACTTAAAATGCCCCAACATTTCTCAGGTAGGCAGCAAGCTGAGAATGCTGTTCACTCCTCAAAGAGGTGAGAGTCTCCAATATCCTTCTCAGATATGGCCAAAGAAACCTGTCATGGGTAGGGGGCTGGGCCAGGAGCCCTGGAGAACAACAGATAAAGCAACTGTCCCAGGGAGCAAAAGCAGGACCTTATTAAAGAGCAATTCCTACTCCCAGGGAAGATGGCCCTTAGACAACAATTTGTGCAGAGGACTTCAGAACAGCTATGAAGTAATGTCTGCTGTGTGCTTCTCATTCCTCCTCTTTCTGAGAGTGTTTGTGGTGGTTCTCCAGTCCCTGTTCCACTGATGCATACTGAGAATATGTTGGAGGCAGGCAGATGACTGGTCCGTTTTGTCCACAGTTAACTAGATCAAGGGGAGTCCTATCTCCACCTGACAAAGAAATTATCACAAGATCCTAGTCTGGAAGCCTGCTATACTATTTGGATAGAACTCTTAGGTTTCCACACTTACTGCCATGTGATTTTCAGGGTCTCCTGTGGGAAGAGTATATTCCCCCTCACCAGGGATTCAGGCTTGGCCATGTGATCTGCTTTGTTTGTGGAATGTGAGCGTTAGTATTTTATGTAACATCTGAGTAGCTTTTAAAGGCATCATTTGCTTCTGCCATTACCCATTTCCCTCTGCCATGAGAAAAGAACATTCCAGATGGAGGCTGTACCTTCAGCCAGGATCCCAGAATGAAGAAGATACATGAAATAGTTAACACAGAACATGAGCAAGAATGAAAACTTTGTTTTACAAAACACTGTTTTGTTACTGCAGCACAGTCCAGTAAAAGCTGACTAATACAGAGAGGCGTCTCTGGAAAGAGTCAGAGGAAGCTCCTCTCTGGCTCTTCCAGTCCTTTTCTCTCACTATCTTCTGTCTGGTTAACGAGTATCCTTTCTGTTAAAGGCAGGACCAGGATGCTGTTTCCCACTCTCTCTGAACTTATGGATTATGTTGTATTTGGAATCTGTGTATGGGTTAAGACCATTTTCCTCCACCTTTTCTCCATACACTTCTGTCCCAGGAGCTCCCCAGGTTGGGCCACAGTCTGGTTCAGAGCTCTGCCAAGAGGCAGCTACATGTTGCCAGGTAGGAAAGGGGGAAGTAGGAAGAAGAGAGAGCAGCACTGTGGGCGCCCAAAAGAATACTGCCAATTCCTCCCTCTACTTCTTGTAGATGTCAAGTGCAGAGCTTCATTACCATCCCAGCCAGAATCTACCATGCAGCCTATATCCTGTAGGATTAAACAACCACCCCACAAGAGCCATCTTCCTTAGCTTAGTCCACTCTATGAGGGGGGCCTCACCAAGGCTGCGGGCAAGGTGAGCGGTCCAGTAAATGTCCAGGCAGGCAACTTGGTTCTTCATGCGCCGATGGCATGTGCAGCTCATCAGAGAGCTATTCCTGAGGTGCTTTGCTGCCTCCCTGCAGTCCTCAGGGACCAAAAGTTCCTGTGTGGGTGATGGGGTGCTTATACTAGAGGTGCAGGAATTCAGGTGGTGGTAGGCAGCACTGCAAACAGGATCGGCCTGGCACTTCCTCCTGGCCTGAATACAGCTGTTCACGAGCCGGCCCTCTATAGGGAGAGGGTCTGCTGTGGAGGAAGAGAGACCAGGTGAGGCTCACATAAGGTCAGAGTAGCTGCCTGGGAGTAACAAGGTGTGAGGTAGAGTAGAGGATTCAAGATGAAACTTTGGGCAGGAAAGTCTTGGGGTGGCATTGAGGCCTTTAGGAATAAGTGGAGAGAAAAGCCCAGTAGGAGTAAAGAATCTGCAGCTGTCACAATCTGGACAGAATAGATGAGGCCCAAGAAGAGGTGGATTTGAAGAGAGGCTGCTCAGCCTCCTAAGAGAAGGAGGGGGACTGTTGTCTGAAGCTGAGCCTAATATGACCCTGCCAGGCACAGGGAAGAGGGCCCTTGGCAGAGCAATGCACAGGCAGGGCTAGTATAATAACCAGAGAGTTGACAATGTGCATGGGAGTGCTAAATGAGAGTCAGCGACAACTCTGAGGCTTCCATTAAAAGTCACTTTAAAATACCTTTACGGGGGAACTGTTTGGTGTTGGTGTTGGGGAACTTTTGCTGATTCTGTCACTCAATAATACCGATGTTGGTTTATAGGTCAGCCTTGTGGATCTTCCCTACATCCTAGGACTTAGCATCCTTGTCAAAGAGTAGCCATCATGCTGCCAGTTTTGCAAGGCAAAACATCTAAGAGTCATTTTTAATTCTTCTCTTTCCTTCATATCCTATGTTCAATCCATTAAGTCCTGCCAACTCCACAATATATCAGGATGCTGTCCACCTCTCTCCACATCTATCACCACATCCTCAAACCACCATCAGCTTTTGTCTGAACTACTGCCAAGACTCCTTATTGGTCTCCTTGATTCCATCCTCCAAATTCATTCTCCCATACCATTCAGCCATACTTTTTTTGTTTTGTTTTCCAGCTTTAGTGAAATTTAATGGACATAAAACATCGTGTAGGTTTTAGGTGGGCAACATGATGATTTGATTTACATATATATTGTGAAGTGATTAAGACAATAAGATTAGTTAATATATCCTTTACCTTACATAACTAACATTTTGCTGTTGCAGCCAACTTTCTTTAAAAATTTTTTTAATGTTTATTTTATTTTTGAGAGAGCGAGAGAGCGAGCACACAAGCAGGGGAGGGGCAGAGAGAGAGGGAGACACAGAATCCGAAGCAGGCTCCAAGCTCTAAACTGTCAGCACAGAGCCTGACTTGGGACTTGAACTCATGAACCACAAGATCATGACCTGAGCCCAAGTCAGAGCTTAACTGACTGAGCCACCTACGCACCCTCAGCCATCTTTTTTAATGACCTTTTTTTTTTTTTTTACACGTTGGAAACCATTCCCATTGAGATAAAATTCATACAACATAAAATTAACCATCTTAAAGGGCATAATTAAGTGGCATTCAGTACATTCATAATGTTGTACAACAATCACTTCTATCTAATTCCAATATATTTTCATGACCCCAAAAGGAAACCCATACCCATTAAATAGTCACTCTCCCTTTTCCAACCTCTCTAGTCCCTGGCAACCACTAATCTGCTTTGTCTCTACAGATACCTATTCTAGATATTTTATGTAAATAGAATCATAAAATATGTAATATTTTGTATCTGGCTTCTTTCACCTAACATATTGCTTTTTTTTTAAGTTTATTTATTTTGAGAGAGAGCACATGCATGCATAAACAGGGAAGGGGCAGACAGATGGGAAGAGAGAGAATCTCAAGCAGGTTCAACCACAGTGAGGACCCTGATGTAGTGCTCAAACCCATAAACTGTGAAATCATGAGCTGAGCCAAAATCGAGAGTTGGATGCTTAACCAACTGAGTCACCCAGGTACCCCTAACATATTGCTTTTTGAGGTTCATTCACATTACAGCGTGTATCACTACTTCATTCTTTTTTATGTATGGGTAAGATTTCATTGTATGGATATCCCATATTTTATCAGTCCATCAGTTGGTGGACATTAGGGTTGTTTCCATGCTTTGGTTATTGTGAATAATGCTTCTGTGAACATCCATGTACAAGTATTTGCTTGAATTCCTGCATAAAATTCTTTTAGGTGTACACCTATGAGTGAAATTTCTGGGTCGTATGGTAATTCTGTTTAACTTTGTGAAGAATCGCCAAATTGTTTTTCACAGTGGCTGCACCATTTTTCATTCCCATTAGCAATGTACAAAGGTTCCAATTTGTCAATTCTTATTTTCCTTTTTTTTTTTTAACCAGCCATCCTTATGGATGTGAGATAGTATATTACTGTGGTTTTCATTTGTATTTCCCTAATAACTAATGATGTTGAGCATATTTTCATGTGTTTGGTAGTCATTTGTATATCATGTTTGATAATTATTTTTTATTAAAGTACAACATACAGAAACATGTATTAATCAAAATGTACAGTACAATGAATTTTAAATTTAATACACTGTGTAACCAGACCTCAGATAAGGAACCAGAACATTACCAGTGCCCCAGATGCCCTCTGCCAGGCACCAACCCCTCTGAAAGAAACCAATGTCTTGATTTCTAACATTAGAGATTACTTTTGCCTGCTTTTCAATCACACAACATGTGCTTTTGGTGTCTTAGTTTCTTTTGCTCAATATTACCTTTATGAAGTTCACCCACTAAGTAAAGTTTACCCATTAAGTTGCAACTAGCTTGTTTTCCTTGCTGTATATCATTCCATTGTGTGAATATAATGTAATTCTAATGCCGATTGGCATTATATGGGAGCATCTCTTAAATATTGTAAATGAGATCATCTCATTACTCTGCTTAAATTCTTCCAACAACCTCCAATACACTTAGATTAGGGTCTAGTTTAGGGGTGCCTGGGTGGCTTAGTCGGTTAAGCGTCCAACGTGGGCTCAGGTCATGATCTCACAGCTCTTGAGTTTGAGCCCTGTGTTAGGCTCTGTGCTATCAGCTCAGAGCCTGGAGTTTGCTTCCAATTCTGCATCTCCCTCTCTCTCTGCCGCTCCCCGGCTCCCACTCTGTCTCTCTCTCCTTCAAAAATAAATAAACATTAAAAAAAAATTTAGATTAGGATCTAGTTTATATGCCCTGGTTTACAAACCCTTGTAAGACCAGGTCCCTGCTCACTTACCTAACCTTACCTTCCAGCCCTCTTCTCCTCTCCCACTTCGTTTCACCCACACTGGCCTTCCTTTTGTTGCCACTGAACAAGACAAGTCTGTGTCAACCTTAGCGTTTTTGCCCTAGCCTTTCTTTCTGCTTGGAATGCTCTTCTCCCTGATCTTCACATGGTTGGCCCTTTCTGGTAATTGAGTTCTCTGTCTAAATAGCATCGCAGAAAGGCCATCCCCAACCAACCAATGTGAAATAACCCCCTAGCTACTCTACTACATCATTACTCCAATTCTCTGCATAGCACTTATCATCACTTAATTTTTTTAACTTGATTTTTTATTATCTCCCCCTCTGGACTTCTACATCTATCTTATCACTACTCTGTTGCCAGTGCCTAGAACAGTGCTGGTTCCTTATGAGCTCCTATTATTTAAAAAAATAACCAGGGTTGGGGTGCCTGGGTGGCTCAGTTGGTTAAGCACCAGACTTCAGCTTCAGCCATAATGATCTCACGGCTTGTGGGTTTGAGCCCCGCGTTTGGCTCTGTGCTGACAGCTCAGAGCCTGGAGCCAGCTTTGGATTCTTTGTCTCCCTCTCTCTCTGCCCCTCCCCTGCTAGCACGCTCTCTCTCTTTCTCAAAAATAAACATTAAAAAAATTTTTTTTAATAATAACCAGAGTCACCTGGGTGGTTCAGTCAGTTAAGTGTCTGACTCTTGGTTTTGGCTCAGGTCATGATGTCACAGTTTCGTGAATTCCAGCCCTATATCAGGCTCTGCACTGGTAGCACAGAGCCTGCTTGGGATTCTCTCTCTCCCTCGTTCTCTGCCCCTCCCCCACTAGTGCTGTCTCTGTTTCTTAAATAATGAATAAACTTAAAAAAGAAATAAACAAATAACAGAGGAATTTTGTGAGTCACCTCTGTAACTTCTCTGAGCTCCTTCCCTCTATTTAAAATCAAAGAGTGCCAGAATGAGGAGGGGCATGAGTTTAGTTAGTCCAACCTTTTCTTTCAATCAAACAATAATTAAGTCAATTACTTATTAAAATGCAGATTTCTGACACCATCCCAGAACTACTGAATCAGAAGCTGTGGTGATAATGCCTGGGAATCTGAGTTTTAGCAAGTTCACTGGAAAATATGATGCATCCCAAAGTTTGAGAATTGGTCATATCCAATGCACAAAGGCAGGATCAGTAGTATCAACTTCACCTTTTGCTTCAGGCTCCAATATGCTTCAGCATGACATTGTTACTCTTTTTATTACATTTTTGATATTTTGCTCCTCATGGATTTGGGGGGGGGAGCACTGATTTTGATTTTTAGTATATGTGCTGCTGAAGCAAGCATTGATTTTGATTTTTTTTGAGAGAGAGATGACACAAGTAAGCGAGAGGCAGAGGGAGATGGGGGAGAGAAAGAATCCCACAAGGGGCAGAGAGAGAGAGAGAGGGAGAGAGAGTGGGGCTCACCTGAACGGGGCTCGTGTTCACCCTATGTGGGACTTGAACTCACAAACCGTGAGATCATGACCTGACCAAAGTCAGATGCTTAAGTGACTGAGCCACGCAGGTGCCCAAGTCAGCACTGATTTTTATTTTTTTCCAACCAGGGTGGCTTGATTTTATTGCAGGGAAGTGAGGGAGAGGCTGGGCAAGTGAGGGTCTCTGTAGGAACCCCCATTGCTGAGTAGGACTGCCAGGCCCCAGGTCTGTCTGGAAGTCAGGAGAGGATCAGAGGCCTGTCCCTTTTGGTCCATCTTGGGCCCAGGGGTCCAGGCCCTCACTACTTGGGGTCAAAGAAGGGAACAGCTTTTCCTGTTTTTCCCACAGTCTCCAGCAGAAGGTCCATGCTGTGCTCAGAGTTGATGCAAACCTTCTTGTTGAACAGGTCAATGTCAAACTCAACTTCTCCCACCTTGTTAAGCACCTGACTGACCTCATTAGAGCAGCCTTCACAGGTCATGTCCACAGAGAACTCGTGCGTCGGCATGACTGTGGATGTGATGGTGGCTGCAGCAGCAACGCCTCTGATTTTCATTAAAAAAAATTTTTTTTAACATTTATTTGTTTTTTGATAAATAAATTAAAAAAGCGAGAAAGATAGAGAATGAGCAGGGGAGGCACAGAGAGGGACAGAGGATCTGAAGCAGGTTCTGTGCTCATAGCAAAGAGCCTGAAGCAGGGCTTGAACTTTCAACTCATGAACCATGATATCATGACCTGAGCCGAAATCAGACCCTTAATTGACTGGGCCACCCAGGTGCCCCTGATTTTGCATTAAAAAAAAATACTGCAGGGGCACCTGGGTGGCTCAGTCGGTTAAGCAGCCGACTTCGGCTCAGGTCATGATCTCGCGGTCCGTGAGTTCGAGCCCCGCGTCGGGCTCTGTGCTGACAGTTCAGAGCCTGGAGGCTGTTTCAGATTCTGTGTCTCCCTCTCTCTGACCCTCCCCTGTTCATGCTTTGTCTCTCCCTGTCTCAAAAATTGTGAGTTGTGAGTTTAAGCCCCACATTCACTGTAGAAATTACTTAAAAGAATTTTTAAAATCTTACAAAAATATATATTGCATTAAAATATTCTTTATCTTGACTACTTTTTCAATGGCACCCCCTTCACTCACTCACCTTAGTCCCAGTTCTGCCTAGCACAATTTGCTTCACTTTCTGGACCTTAGTTTCCCAAATGTAAGGTGAGGAATTTGGATTAAACCAGTGTTTCTCAATGGAGGGCTAGGGAAGATATAGGTTAGGCCCCTTACAGGAGTATATCAGAATTTCCAAAGGTAATAGGTGGCTCAAAAAAGTATATTTGATCGTTATATATGTGGAAGATGAAAAATACTTTTGAAATTGCAAAAACATATTTAGAGAAGGCATGAGAGATTTATCTTTACCAAAAGAGAAACATGGATTTGATGGTTTAAGAAGGGGAAGGGAAGGAAAAATAAGACAACAGAGAGAGAGGCAAACCATAAGAGATTCTTAAAGACAGAACAAACTAAGGGTTGCTGGAGGGGTGTGGGAGGGTGGGGATGGGCTAAATGGGTGATGGGCATTGAGGAGAGCACTTGCTGGGATGAGCACTGGGTGTTACATGTTAGTGATGAATCAGTAAATTCTACTCCTGAAACCATTATTACACTATATATTAACTAATTTGGATTTAAATAAAACTAAAACAACAAATGAAAAATACTCACCAATTTTAAATAAAACAAACAGTTTGAGAAATATTATATATTTAAGATGTTACTGCTGGTATGTACCAATAAGTGCTTGCTGAAAGAAATGTAGCAAGTCCATGTCTCACTGCTTAAACTGGACTAAATATTGACTCAGAACAATTTTCAAAAGTAAACCTCCAAGTTCAGAGCTGACAGTTCAGAGTCTGAACAATGGTGGATTTAGGGGCAATTGCACCTCAACAAAAGAAGGTAGGGCCACCCTTCTTCTAACAAAAGAAGGTAGGGACAATGTTGAAGTTCATCATAACAGGGTAGAACTTGTTATACTTAATTGGTTGATGGGGAAGGTGTTAAAGGTTTCCGCCTGATGTTAGGCATACCGTAAGGTTTCAGCCATACTGTTAGGGTTACTGAAATTTTCTGGGCAGTAAAATCAGATTGGTAATAACTTGCTGCCCTGATTTACTGATGGAGTCAATCTGGATAGACCAGTCCTTTCCCTCCTTCCTTCCATATCTGTCTTGCAGCCAAGGCTCCACATATATAGTATTTCATTTCTGCAGTGACTACTTTGTGAGCCGAAGTGACGGGTCCATGTATGGTCTCTGTCTCCACTGAGGCTCAGGGCAGGAGCCCCACAATGAGATTTCCATGCACCCGTCCCACTCCCAAAGGTCACAGGCATGTTCCCTGGGATCTTGGATCCAAGGCTACCCTTTTCTGGGAGAATGGCATAGTTCTAAAACCAGGCCCTGAACTATATATTCCACAAGATACTTATTGTGTATTTATAATAGAGCAACGCACTGTGCTGAGCCATCTTCCCCAACAGTGAGTTTTCTGCTATAATTAAAATAATGAAAGTATGTTCTAAAAGGATGGAGGGGGTGGCAGTGAGAAATATTCTCAAATAATGATGTTAGAAGTTCTGGCAGCAGTTTAAAACCCTAATTTGTAACAAGTCAGTTACAAAAAACTTCTTTCTTCACGCGTACCTACTGTCCACGTCCCCAGTCCTTACAGAGAGTGGAAGGGTTGAAGCCCATGTGCAGCAAATGGCACTCCAGCCTGATTCTCCTCACCTCCTAGAGATGCTGTCGTGGAAGTGGCCTGGCTGCTACTGTTCTGTGTCTGTGTAGACGCACCTCAAAAGAGGAAAGTGGGGGAATGGGGAGTAGGGGAACGAGGATATGCTTGGGTGTCCTGGCCATTACTGGCATTCAATCTAGAACAGTTCAAAAACTGTACTAGGCATGGAAGGTAGCCCCTTCCCGGCACCCAGGGCTTCCTTCCACGTACACAGGGCCACCTGGGACGGCGGTAGTGCGGTGTCTGAGCCCCCTCTGGACAACC